GCGAGCTTAATATATGTCATGGACTATTCTGGCAATTTAAAGGTGTAGTGATTTTAAAAATTTGCATAAATAATACGTTTCAGATAAGGCCCGAGATACACGATCGTGTACGATCGATTTCGCCTACATAACTTCGGACACGCATAATTCATTGTTCAATTTGTCACGAACAAACTAACATTTGAATTTAACATCCACGAGCCCTAACCTGTTACAATCTCTCAGACAACAAAACGCCTTGCAATAATTGCGTAAATGTTCAGTATTTTTTTTGCCTCGTAATAATTTTTTCACTTTTTTTTTAATTGTGATCCATTTTTAACTGTAAATTTAATTATAGACCACAAGAAGGGTTTTCATCGTGTCGATCTACTTTTATTTATGCTTTATTGCTAACCTTTAAAATGTCTCTACCAGTCTCTATTTTTTTATTGATTTTATATAAATAATTATCCCCACCAAGATTTACAATGATTATTTGTAAGAGTCTTTTTCAATATTGAGCCCAAGGAATCAGACCCAATGTTCGCCTATAGCTTAAATATAAAGCAACTGAGATTATGATCGAAGTAAAACTCAATAACTTAATGTTTATACCAGTACTAATAGATTTATCTTGATAATTAAAAATAATATATTGGTATGGTATTTCTAAAATTTTTATTATATATTTTACATATCGTTAGCAGATTTCAATTTTCGATTAATAATGATCGAACGAAAAAATGGCTGAATACCTTCCATTCTGGAAAAATGCATAGGCTAAATTCTAACATAATTCTTTCGAATGGAACAGGTTTCCAAATTTTAAACCTTTTCGCTCATATAAACGAAATTACGAGTGTTGCTTGGTCGCATACTAACATATTATATCGTTCTGTGAAATATATTTGATGGATTTATAATGTTCGCGATACTCACGTCTGTTTTAGTTGCTATACGTAATACATCTGAACGTGTTTGTATCCGGCGTTTTGCTCGTTTTCGTTGGGTGGACGTTAATTGCCGGAGTGACGTCACACCCGTGAAAAGACGGGTAGGAGACGGAGCTCGAAAACGAATTCGTACAATAGCGACCGTGGCCGTTGGGCCGCAGCCCGAGTGCACGCATAGTGATGCGACAGGTCCGCGGTTGGAACGTCGATGGAACAATCGAACGTTTCGGGCGAATCCGGACTCCTAGCGTCTGGCCACCTGAAGTCCGGCGAAACTGTAGGCCAACAGTGGCCTCATCCCGACAAAAAAAAACCGGACCCCTTGGCGCGGTGCAATGACGTCGGAAATTGATGGCTCGTTGCGGAATACGGTCTCTTTTCACGGAACCACTCGTGCGCGTCGGGCGGGCGGGGCGCGCATAAATCCCGCGCGGCGATTGAATGCAGACGCGTAAGCGTGCCCGCGCGCATAATTCAAAGGGGCGATCACCAGGAATCGCCGTTTGGCATGCAGACGGCCGCGTTCATTCCAAAGCAATAAACCCGTTACCGGCGACGTAATATGCATATCGGCGGACGCTAAACAACACATTCGACGTTCCGAAACATACATAAAATATGAGGGGCTTTCTTGAATTACATATGCGAGTGCAACGCGTCCTTCTCGGTGTTATTTTCGTCAAATTTTTGGCAGACACGCAAAGAAATATGAGATGTGTATTATAAACTAACCGATATGCCGTGTCATTCATGATTTGATATCGTCACTTTCGTTTGTCGATATCGATGTTGCCGCGCGATCGTCACCAGCCCGCAGGTGCATTGTGGTCTCACTGATACGCGGCTCCTTGCGAATCATCGCAATGGCGCCGGATCGCCTCGGCAGCCAGACGACCAGACGACCCACCAGCTTAATATTTATTTACACATGCTAATGCATTTAACCTGGTCGAAACTTTATCGGTTCGGCCACGATGAATCAAAATGGCAGTAAGTTACCACGAATCAAGAGTCAACTCAGTATATGAATATATGCAGTGCTGCGAACGAACGGCATATTAAAGTTTCGGCGCCTATGTACTTTATTAATTCAATCCTTCGGGCCATATATTACTTTCAGCGCACCTAACGATAACGTATTCATGTCCAGAAACCCTCCGTATAATATACATCGTTCCGACTTGTCACGAAATATTTACATATAAAGAAAACAAATACGCAAATAAGTTCGATGACAACATGTTGTTCCATTGAAAAAAATGATATCACTTTTATTTTAGTTATTTTTATCGTAATTTCAATTCATATTAATGTTAATGAATACAGAACCCTTACAATCAACGACGTTGAAATGAACCGCGTGAATATAACAGAAATATTTAAACCGGTTTATACCATTATACGACATGACTTAACGAATTAATATTATTTGATTTCTTGCTATTAAGCGAATATTATACATGTTTAAATAAAAAAATTCTTCAGATTTTATCGCGATTAATAAATTTTTTAAACTCCCGACGTTTCGAAGTCTTTCCAGCATAGTCACGGGGCAGACTGGATTAATTATTCCAAACGTTCTGAATACAATCTAAATTTATTACCTATATATATATATGCAGTATTATTATAGACAAAAGGTAAGAAGAAAAAACAGAGATAACCCTAAACATTAAGCATAGGGTTGTGTTCGAAACAGAAGCAGCATAGTTTGGTTATGAGCGCTTCGCATATGTAGATATGTAATTAATATGACTGATAGGGGAAGCTCCAGTCCGACAGGATGTTTTCCAGGCGCACTGATGTGTTATTCAGTTAAGTGGATATTAAATGCGGGGCGGATAGGTGCTAACCGCCGATTTCGCCCAACTGCAGGGTTAGAATACCATAACGAGACACTTATGAGCTAACAATTTAAAATGCTCAGCGCTGCGAAACAATTGCGGGCCGACATTGGCGATGTTTGAAGTATCGACGTCGGGGAAACAAAACTCGGTCAAGTGTCCAGACTGAGTTTTCAAATCGCAATTTATGAGGGGCCAACTGATGCGTATAAAAATAGCAATCACATAAATACGACGGCAACCATCGTATTATTAAGTAACAGAAGTATCGCCGCATTAGCTAGTGATAGAATATATAGAAAGAATATTAAAATGGTTTTTGGTTAAACAAAGTTATTATGTTATCAAAATTACAATCCTGCTGTCGACACTGATTATTCAAAGATATGTTAGATTATTGTCTAATTTTTTTCCCTTTAATTCTAAAATTTAAATCAGTTTTTATTGTTAGAAATATTGTTTGGATAAAATATTGGTCCAAGACTATCAATTACGAAGTCCCGCAATCCGATATAACGCCTTCGACTGCTCTTTGTTTCGATTTATCGAAGCATGACCGATGACTCTGCCTGGAGTGTTTGGTTAAAATAATTGGCTTGATTTTGTCAAAATACCATTGTAATTACAGTTTTTAATTAAAATTCCCGGTAGATTTAAGTAGCAACATCCTTGTCTCGAATTCTCTTTGTGGCGAATAATATTTTACTGCTTTTTTTAGGCTACAGCGCGACCATCTCATTAGTAAATTTTTGAACTAATAACATAATGCGAGCTACTGTTGAAGTGGTAATTAAGGAGATTAAGATGTTACACGTTTTGCCTGTTTTGAACCTTGTTAGTTTTAAAAAGGAATAAATTCAATATTATATATAACTTCAAGCTTCTTTAAGACGTCTTTAGATACTATCAAAAATAGGACAGTTTATTGTATGCATTTTTTTTTGTAGAGTCGCGTATTTTTCTGTTAGAAACGCGTAAAAAGATCGATCGGCAGATTTTATTTCACAATACTTGGCTAATGTAATGATCAACGAACTCCCTATCATATTTATATTTTTATTAAACAAATGGTATACCCAGTGAACTCATTATATTGGACGCTTTAAAATACTTTTTTAGTTTCCTACAACAAATTTGAGATATTTATAACAAAATGTACATTATACAATTATTTTTCCAACATTTTCAACATTAAATCTCTCTTAAATTACTAATACTATTAACATTTACAATAAAAAAATATGAAATACTTAAAAGAAAGTAAATGGATTTAAGTAACAATAATAATTAATTTCTATATAATAATTCTATATAATAAATAATAATTAAAGACTTTCGAAATTTTTTAACAGAAGGGGTTTTCATTTGCTCCAAGTAATTAAACAAGTAATGAAAACGCTAGGAATATTTTTAGCAACCTCAAATAATAAAGCTTTAGTTTTGCCACGCTGCTAACTAGTTAATTAAATATGCATCTTGCGTAAATCATTTAAATAAATTATTTTATTATAAAGGTCTAAATATATACATGGAACTGTATTGTACATTCTCAAGATTAATCATAAAATATTAACAAAAACTAAAGAGTTTTTTTAATAAATAAGTATAGAAAGAAATTAACCATAAAGTATTTTACAATTTTTTAAACACGTTATATTACTGCTCATGTATAAAGTGACAGAATATTTATTTTTGAAATGACAAATACGAATAATATGAATATTTGATTTTGTGAAAAGACAAATACGAATACAAATATATGCATTTATATTTCATTACAGATAACATGTGCATTAACCCACATGTTATCTCGTCTGTAGTAAATAATATAAATGTAACTTCACACATTTATTGCTCACTACGACTCGTGTCTTCGATAATTTAAAGTACTACATTTATGATTTATTTGTTGATTGCGTCCAATTAATAGCATCATCATCATTAAAAACTGACAATACAAAATAATACTTATTTAATTTAAAATACAACAAACAAACAAGATATTATAATAACAAGTTTGCGAACGCGTTGCTTAAATTCGAAATGTACTGACGGTTTATAAAAAAATATAACGCATTCGAATTTGCCTGGTACGCGCTCCGTCCGGTTAACGGGCCACTAACTTCCTTCCCGTCACTTTGCGTCCGACCGAAAAACCGTCTGGACCGCGAGGTGTTGATAAGCCGTTGAGGTCTTTGGGGCTTCGAGTCTCCCGACTTACCGGTTGGCGGCGCACTTACGTACACGCCGCGGGGGCTCGTGTCGCGTGTCGCACTGCACGTCACCACCGGGGGGCTGTCGTGTCGTGTCGAGGGCTCACCTGCTGCCGGGCGCGCGAGCACGAGCGGCAGCACGAGGAGCGGCAATAGGGGCAGCCGCATGCTCGCGCTAGCGTCGCATGCCGGCGCGGGCGCTGTGAGCTCGGCGCCCGCCGCCGCGACACTGTGCCGGCCGCGCCTAGCGCGCCGCCGCGGCACGTGCGCCCACCGCCTGCAACAGGTGACTGCACCGCGCCCGTGTGACACCGCGCCACGCATCCGCCCCTTACCATCGGTGTTGCCCTAGCGGAGTGTTGGCGCCGACTGAGCGGCGAGCGCGGCCAGCCCGCGCCGACTGCAAGTGCAGCCGGCGGCGTGGCGAGGCGTGTCGACGACCGCGACGCGACACGCGCCTCCCGCGGCCTTCCGCCTCCGCGGAATGCGAGCGCCGACTGTGCGGTGCGCCCTACTCATCCGCCGCGGACGCCTCTGTGCGCTCGCTCTTCGCCCAACGCCGACTCTACCACGGTAGAGTCCTGACGTAATGAAAATCTTTCGAATATCGTTATAACTCTGACACATCATTACATTGACCCGTATCCTTCACAGCATAGCAGCAGTATAGTTATCGAATTTTATCTGCGAATCAATCTTATTAAGCGGCCTTAAATTCATAGACGTGGATCAATGAACTGCGCGTCGGTTAAGCGTTGAAGTCTTTTCAAGGGCGCTTATTACTCGACTTTGAAAAAATCTTGGTAACCACTCTCGTAAGAAACTACAAGCGATCTTCACAATTTAAGCAAATCTGATGATTATTCGATTATCGTTTTGTTCAGTTAATGGTCAACTCATGTTCTCAAGAAGTTTTAGTAATGGCACAATTACATTTTCGTTATGATGATATCAATAAATTTCTGTTGGAATAAAGATTTCGACAAAGTTAAAAAAACTAACGTAAAAAATTGATAACACCAAAAGCTTATTTTTTACCAACTCCGTTACTAAAACAGAGTAGTGTCATTTATTTTTGCATTTGTTAAAGCGCACGTAACTTATATCATAATGTTATCTAAGTATTCATGGAATTTACTTAGCCGAAGTGTAAAATATATATCAATATAATATAATACTGTTCTATTTGCTAATGTAATAAACGTAGAAAAACTATCATTCTTTTTTTAGTGAACAAAGCACAGAGGATAAAATTTAAAGTTAACCGATAGGAGGTAGTTGAGCATTGCCGAGTGCTAACATTAATTTAATTGAACCAATTGCTGAAGCAGAAAAAATACAAAGGGTTATAATATTTACATACAATTTTATTACTCAAAAAAGGTATGCTTTTAAGTTGTTTAAAGACGTAGGTATGAATAATTTCGTCTTGAAAAAAACAAATTTTATTGATCATAGTAATATCGCTTAATAGTTGCAAGACAGGTGTAGACGTAACAACTAATAAGTTGTACATAGTGCATTTTTTAATGCAATTTGAGATGTTATTATACTACAGAAAGATAATTAAAGTTTTTGTGACAAGCTATGAATGATTTTTAGAAAAGAGCTCATTTTAATAAACATATGTATGTATAAACTGAATCCGATCTTATTACCGCAGTCTCTAGTAGAATTTATAAGATAATTTCATTATTTTTTTTTGGTAAATAAATGTGTTTTCTTTTCTTTTCATTAAGAAATCAGTTAAATTTCACGGCTGAACGTTGTTTTTTTATTAGCACGACAGCTGAGTTTATTTTTGAAGCAAACATTGTTTGGGACATACCCCTCGTATTTCTACCTTTTGTCTTCTTGGCATAGCTCCAACGCTCGACTGCAATTTGTCGAACGATCAAGAGTTCCATTTTAATGACAATTTGCTATTCACACGATTGACATGCTAATAGATGCGTAAAATACTTATATGAATGTTTTATCCTTTAAACCGAATGCGTTTAATACATGAATGGTTGAAATATACGACAAAATCCGTCTCAACACAATCTTACTCATCACGGCGCGTGACTCTATTGTAAAATGTTAATTATGTATGACATAGTATTGGTATTTATTATATAGCTCGTATAAGTATTCGTCAATAAGAATTTATGAATATTACGCTTAATCACTACATATTTATTCACTAGTATAGCAGTTGGTGAAATGTGGGCCGTTTGTTCTTTTCGCGCTCAAACGTTAAGTATAACTGTTCAACGACGAAATTCGGCTAGAGCTGTCACAATTATTGAAGTGTCGCTTTGTTAGGAATATTGTTGATTATTTAATGTTGAAAAATCATGTCTAATGTAAATTAATTAACCGAATTTGGAGTTTAATACTACAATATTGAATTGTATGTCTATAAAAGGATACGAAAAAGCCAATAAAACACTATCATGAACATAAATGCATAACTTTCGGTTGAGTTTTGAATTGTATGATAAAGACTACCACAAATAGAGCAAAACTCGAAATGTCGGAATCATTAATTATTGTCAAATTAAATGTTGGCAAAAACTCCGTCGTGATCCTAGTGTCCTCATTCGCGCTAATGTCATTTTTTATCTATGGTCACGAAGAAAAAGAAAGAATGCCACGACGATAAATATGCGCGTGTGTCTACAATATATCGTCGGACAATAAATTAAACGATATCTCAATTAATTATTGGGCGACACTGCAAAAACAAATGACCGCAAAGCCCAAAACGTGTGGGCTTTTGTAGACGTATAAGAATTAATTTTTACTTTATTTGTCAATGTCCATATTTAAAAAGTATTTTGACTTCTCGAGTCTTCTTTGCGTCTGCTGACGAACTCTGTGTTATGTAGTTTTTCCTAATTTTTCCAGCCATTAAAACATAATATTAGTTATTGGCGTGTTAAATTTACACGTTTCAACGTAAAAATGTAAAACAAATACCAATCCTAAACACGTTTTTAGGTTGTTGCCGCATATTAAATGGTTGTGACTACAATACATTTTCTGTATTATATAGAATATAAATTATTCTGTACAATACACCTAAACAGGTATACGTAGTAATATTGTGTAGTAATAATAATACTAATAACGTATAAATACGTATCATAAGAGTAGTAATATTTTACTCAACATAATTAGAATAATAATAATAAATAATTACAAAAATAAATAATTAGAAATTTCGGATGAACATGAAATTGATAAAAATATTTCACCGGGAAAGAAAATAATTTTTTTTACTAACTTTCAAGAACACACCCTTGAAAAGTGTTTTGTTGAAACTTTTTAAGAATTTAGTTTATTCATTTAAGAGTTTAGTTTGTTGTTTTATGTATAGCAATAATATAATACCTACAGAGTCAATTTTTGGTAACTTATTTTACCTGAGGCAATCGAATTTATTTCAGTAAGATAAGATAGATAAAAAATAGCTTATTTGTAACAACAATGCTAAAAATATCAGAATGAATAGCGAATCTATTTTAATCCTGAGGAGTTCCTTTGATAACTTTGTAATCCCTGTGTTGTAGGAGGTTTCACACCAGGTTATTTTGTTCCGAGTGAGCATCGAACCTGGCGAGTAATGAGTTATTCTGGTCATCCATCGTAGCATCCGTGAGTCTTTGATACTCGGCTTTCTCCACTTCTAGAACATTCACGGCACGCGTAAGTCTCGACCTCTTCTAGAACACCATACGCATGTTATTGCACGACATCATAATAAGACAATATACAAGTCGATTTCTTTTTTTTTGTAAGAAGTCAAATCAGCTGGCGGTTCACCTGAACTTAAATGATAACTGCCGCCCAATGACATTTGCAACAATCGTAGTGTTGCAAATGCGCTGCCAAATTTTAACAGAGTGTGGCCCGGTTTCGCCACTCACCAGACGAAACGCAGAAGTAGGACACTTCTTCTTCACGCCGGTCTGTTATGAGGTCACGACCTGAGTCACATCATGATACCCCGGATGGGCAGGTCCATCCAGAATACCAAGGTACCCCGGACGGACCTGCCCATTTGTGCAACAGCGAACACTGTTCCGTATCGCTAATACAGTTAGAAGTTTCGGTTCCTTATATGGTGGGTCTTTTAGTGTGCATTTCATTGGCTCCACGAGATCAGTCGCTGGTCAAATCACCCGTCCACATCTATTTGCAAAACAAAACGACGTTTGTTTTGCAAATAGATGTGGCACCCCCACATGAGTCTGCCAAGTTTAGCTGAATCGTCTCCATGCGAGAATGCTTATCTGTATAATGTTATTTACCCAGACGGTTTTTAAAGTGCTTTTATTTATAAATCTATAAAAATGCAAATTCAATGTTTATATTGCGGCGACGTATTAAAGTCGGCGCTTTTAAATGAATAATCAATGAAAGGCTTCGGTTTCGCATCGGTTTTCGTTTTTTATCGCGTACGTATTAGAGATAGTGTGATAATGACGTTATTGCGTGTTTGATTTATTGTAAACGGTAGCTGAGAGACGGAATATAAATCATCTGATTATACATCTGGCGGTTTGATGACTCGTCTCCCAACTAAAAAGAACATTAAATTTTTAAACATATAACCATCTGTTTTAAGTTCGTTGAATACAAAGTAAAAGTATTTGCTTTTAAAACTGTAATAAAAAAATATTTCTATGACATATTTTTTTACCAAGTCAAGCTAAAGTTATTTCCTTATACATTTATATTAGTCCTTTCCAGTGTCCACCTGCTGTTCACTGAGGACAAAGTGAGCGTTGAATTCTGAGAACAGTATAGGCTATAACACGTTTCTAGAATTGGAGCCTGCGACATATCATCTGTAGTAGGGCTGCGCCACAGCCTTCGCTGTTGAAGAAATGGAGAGGTCTGTCCGGGGAAGTACCACAACCGTTCAGAAGACCGGCGTAAAGCGGAAGAGTTATACTATGCTTTTCGTCAGGTGAGTGAGGTAACCGGCGCTTACTTTATTAAAAGCTGCCAACGCATCTTCAGCTCTACGAATGGCGCAAATTGGTGACGGATATCACTTAAGAACGGGTGAACCGACATTCCGCAAAATGTCCTATCAGCAGAAGCTTGTCGCTTGTTCGCTCTACATCAACGTTTTGGAATATCCCTTAAAATATCTAGTACCTGGAGGACCTTTTTTTGGTAAATCATGTATTTTAGAAATAAAAAAAAAATAAAAAAAAAATGATCTGGTATAGAAAAAAAGTAAAAAAATCAGTGTGTAAATGATCGTGATACGAACCGCGGCCGTCTGTTTTGGGGCCGCCCCATTACCGACCGAGCTATTGTAACATTTTTTTTGCGACGAAATTTACTATCATATTCGAATGATATTTTTCATTCCCTGAAAACAGGGATAAAAGGACATTTTCTAAAAATGAAACCTAGCTAGATCGATTTTTCTAAATTTCATGAAAATCGTTGGAGCCGTTTCCGAGATTCCGATTACATATATATATATATATATATATATATATATATATATATATACAAGAATTGCTCGTTAAAAGGATAAGAAATTATAACTAGCGTATTTCAGTAATTTAAGAATAAAAATACATCGTAGACGGTTCCTAACTACGGGGGCAGATCGCTAGGTTTTAAAAGTAACAGGTAGCCTCGAATGCACGGGACGGACTAAAAGTACACACAAATAAACACACAAGTACTCACAACGTACACAATGTTCACACAAAAACTGCGGGTTGGAGGGTTGTCGAAAATCGCCTAACGAGTGCCATTTACCGTTTCAACTGACAGTAAAACAAAATGACACACACAGATACATTCTTAAATCGCGGGGCTTACGATCACACAAGATCCCGTGAAGCGAGTTCCCCCCATATAAAATTGTACATTATCCTGTTCCGAAAGTGGCCGTAAACATTGCCGTTTTCGACTGCTAAAAGATATAAAGCACCTTTGTTTCATGATGAATTTACTATCCTCCATTCTTCGTGCGTTCGCGCAAGCAACGAACAAGGAAAGAACCTTTGTTATGGAAAATGTTTCGAAATGTTTTTTTACGAGACTAAATTATATGCTTTAAAACCAGTTTTTATTTTTTCCATTTAAAGAATGCTTATTTAATGTCGAATCAAATTAGATACTTAAAACGTGAGTGTCTTAAGTTGATAAAACGTCAACTATTCAGTAAAATATTAGCAAGCACAATAATATCACATGCTCATCTCTCACGACGGTTATTCTGTCTGTGTTCTTGTGCCAATTGTTTGTATTTTGAATCTAAAGGTCATTCGAACTGATCTTATAAGAATACTTCGCTAAATTCAATGAGAGACTTATTCTTTGACAATCCATATATTGTCTGACGTTCGCGAGACAGTCTGCCAATAAATATTCTGATCGCACGCAATAGACAGCCGATAATCCTCTGAATCTCATGAATAGGCTACGTACACAGACAATAGTCTGGGGACACGGCGTTATTGCACTGGCTTGCACAATGTTGCCGGACGCGTCTAATCCCGCAAATCCCCGGAGTAGCGTGGCGACAAAGCGCATATTAAATTCCATAGACGGCGCGGCTAATTGTTTCGCCGGGTGTACGCAAATTAGCCCCCCTCCCCCCACGCGACAGCCGCGGCGGGCCCTGTCCGGTGTCCGGTCCGCTCACCACCGGGCGACCACTCAACAGCCATTAACGAATTCCAAGGCAAGAGTTCGCGTACAAATATGCGGGCGGGCGCGCTACGCCGGGAATTTGGTCGGATACAGCTCCGTGCTGCACTCGCTCACCTCGCCGGATAAGGCTATTTCTGAGCAGAAGCCAGGTATTCCGAAATCACAATGCCGGCGCGGTTTACCGTTAATTTGTGCGTTCGCGCCAAGCAGACCGTACGCGGCCCTGAGGCGCTATTACTACGAAGCGTATTGCTTAAATGACATCTCGCAAAGACAGGGGAGGGCGGGCAACACGTCTCCCTCACTAAATCGTCTAAAAAGCTGGATAAATAACTATGAATTCGAAAAGATTCGGAGTTAGAATCGTTTCCCTAATACGTAATCAAAGTTTAGGAGTAGGATTCAAAGAAACACTTGGAAAGACTGCCTGGCAGTTGTATCGGTATTGAAGCATTCTGAAATTACAATATGTCTTAAAACCTTGTCGAGTTGGGAGCGACCCGTGTTAATACTTCAGAAATTATACATATACATCTATATACATGCAATTACCACAGAAAATACGCTTTTTACTAACTTGTACAAATAAGAATTTTCGAACATGTTTGTTGTACTGCCATAATAACTGTAGGTACTACGAATTTTCAGAATATTACTTTGACAATCAACTGCCAATTTGCATCTACTTACAGACATGCTAATTTAGTATCGACTGTTTTCCGATTTTTTTTTCTAAATCTAAATATTATATCAGCAGCAGTAAATATGCATACATAACATTACATATATTAAAAGAGTTTATGTTGAAATAACTGTGTTAAAATCGGCGGGGAAAACGCGCCTGCGATTCACATCGATTACGTGGGGTTTGCGGAAATGTTTACATCTTTCGTGCAGATCCTAGTAGTAATGGGAAACATGTATCTGACAGTTTTATTCGCCTAACGTCTGCAACTGTACTAGATTTGTAAAATATCACACATAAACGTAGTAATTTATAAAGAGGGGCCACGTGTGAAATGTACAATTATTTGTTAAATATAAATAAGATCGAGAAATACAACAGTTCTAGAGGCAGAAATAATTATAAACAATGCTCTTGGCATTGTCATTTCAGTCGGTAGCATTGTAAATTTTTAATTTTCATTATGATTAATTTTATTTTAGTATTAGTCTTTGCATTTAAGATTAAACTTAAAACGCGATTTTTAAAGTTACTTTTTTTGGCACGTTTGAAAAAAATTATGAGAATAAAAGTTTTACAATACGCGCGCACAGACAGCCAAAAAGCGACATGATGAAGGTGGTTGCAAAGCGTCATTACTAATACCTCATTTAAGTATCAATAATTATTAACTGGCCCTTCGATTCTTATTAAGATTGTCCGTTGCGAGGTTAAATTGAAAAATTTGAATAGAGCCTTGAATATATTCACATTACGCGCTCTAAACCCATTAAATTTTTGATAACAGCAGAGAGTGTAAACGTCAGATCGTGTGTTTCTCAACAAGCCGGTGTTGACTCGAGCCTAATTGATTTGCCAACTCTTAGACTTAACTGAATTAATAAGCAGATTGATATCGCTAGCTGATTTAGTGACCGGCGCTCGGTCTCACCGTTCCGCTGTAAATCATTCGGACGGTGATTTCCGTTGTTATACAAATCTCCGCAAATTGCTGGCCGACGCTCCACGAGACAAACAACGTATAATTCAAACGAATACTAACAAATAATCTCAAACGCAGGGTATAATAATTTGTAAATCTCTAGTCAATGTTGATTAACGGTAATTTGTGGTTATGATTGCGATTTCTTTGAGCACACCTCTGTTTACTACTAAATCGGACTTGGTAGTACCATAATTTTTTTCTAACATGTGTATATTCATTGTCTTGTGGTAGATCTCTTAGCGGCGTCTAGTGATGCATTGTTGTCCAGGGTTGTACTAGAATTTCATTTGGCATAAAATAAAGTATGGCATAAATTGAAAATAGTGTGGCGTGAAATATGCCAGATGATATAATAAATGCATTATAATATAATAAGCTCTGCCAAAATGTCGTTCATTGGGGCATCCTAAGGGTGCCTTTCTTCAACATGTGTGGGTGTTCTTCCGGCTGATCATGATAATGATGTTACTGAAACTTCATGGGTATTCTGGATGTTCATTAGTTCCAGTTATCACATATTATCAACTAAAATACCTATATTCTTAAATAAAAAATAGATTATGTATTTACAGACGATCAGGTTTATTTTCATTTGTTAAAGTACTTCGTCTACATGCTATATATCAAGGACAAGTGTTAAATATATGAGTATCTGCTTAACAGATTATCTCTATGTACGAAATTTAATAAGAGAGGGTTCCACGTGTTTGTGTGTATCATTTGCATAAAGACACGGAAGAGTTTGTTGTAAGGTGAATTAGGGTGGCCTAACAGCCGTGAAAGACAAAGTTCTGGCCTCATTTAATTTGACTAAATTTACTTTAAATGTTTAATGCTTGGTATATAAAAAATAAATTTAATTCTATAAGATCAACAACTACTAATTTAGTACATTAGTGATTTTGTATCATATTATGAACATTCACGATTAAAAACTCAATAATGCTTGCATTTTTTTTGTTAAATTTGTAAGAATAATGCCCGTAATTGATTATCCTGAATTATCCTGAATAAGATAATTGATACTTGTGAAATTGCTGTATTGTCACTTGTTTTTAATATATTTACAAATTTCCAAATAATTTCCATTTATGGTATTTGATAACTATATTGAAATATTCCGTTGAATTCATAGATACGTAGATTCATAGATACAGCTATTTTCTTGCAAGGGTACGACACCAGTACGAGAGCTTTGATGAAGATTCCAATGAAATATTTGTTACAAGTAAAGACATTATTTTTTATAACTTCCAGAAAGAGATAATTAATTTCGCTACTAAATTGGTGCTTAAGTTAGTTCGTGTTATATCGTCTGGATTGTTATAATATTTTAAATTTATCTATTTTATTCATTTTATCCATTGTTAAATACAATAAAAACAAAGTAGACAACGGGTTTAGATTTCGCGCGGTGAGGATGTCGACCGCTACGCTTTGTGGGTAGAGCGTCTGGAGTGTATTCATAATGGAGCAAGTTCGAATACCAGAAGATGCGAAAAAAAAATTGTGATAGTTTCATCTACACATTTCAAGTTAAAACTTATAGTGTTTATTTAAAAAGAAATTGTGGGTCACCGTTTGGTTGCCTCTACAGCGTATAAATTTATAATGGAACCAAAAACGAAATACAATAAAAACGTAACAGCGCTGAAGGAAAGTAAGAAGCGACGAAAAATCTAATATTTTCTGAGACCATCTCCTGAATACATGTTTCAATAGCCTAGAATTTTCTATATGTTTGAATCAAACTGTAACTGTTGTTTGTGTAGGAATTGTGCTACTTTAATATCTTTAATAGTTTGAATTTAACGCTCAACGTGATTTAAATAAAAAATAATCAGAAATTAAAGATGTTATGCGAACGAGTAACCTGTTTGCCCATTAAAATTGTCATTCGGCACCTGAAAAATTTATCGGTTATCACATTATTAATAAATTTATCGGAGCTAATGAATTATTGCTCAGATAACAAGCAAATAACAGAAAAGTTTTACAACTCTAATTTTGCATTATTAAAATGAAAATTTTCATTATTGTATTCAGAAAAGAGAATTCTGTTACGTGACTGTAGATCAGATATAGACAGATGAAAATCATATTAGTGTCCGCATATTCTTTCCATTTCTTTCACTTTCTATTCTATATTTAAAGTTATAAAATATTTTATTATCCATCCAGTGATATTTCGTATTTCTTAAACTTATTACTACAGGTCTAAATCATTACATTAAGCATGTTTTTATTACATAAAAAAAAATTATCAATCAGAAACGTTAGTGCATAGAGTCATGAATAATGTTGAAACAATTTGATGAACAAATGTATCTTTCTCTTTTCTTTTATTTAACCTGTCTAAACCTTCTGCTTCCAAACCAGAGGTCGTGCCTCTCGTTAAGATACGTTATCTCGACGATATCAGGGCTTCAATAGCGTCGGACGCCACGCGAATGCGCGTGACGTGCTACACGGGCGCTGCCTTCGCAGACTGCAGACAATCATTATGCCATCACGTCTAGACGAGGAGGAGTTGACAGGCACACAATTATGGCCGCACAAATCGCCGCGATGATTTGACGGACCGCCGGCAGTTCTGCGGGTGACATTGTGTTCTGCGTTTTTGCGGGCGAATGTGTTAATTGTATACCTATTACGGCACCTGAGTCACACGCGGAGACACCGATCACGGTCGCGAAAAAAAGAGGATCGAATATTAATTTTAAACTCCGCAGACTGTTTGCGCATACCGTATTATGACGCCATCACAGATATACCGCTTTCCGAATATATTGCTAAGAACGCCATGCTATCAATATTAGTATGACTTGGAGAGTATGAGCTTTAAAAATGCCGGCAATCAGCATCAATAAACAGTATTTTCGTACAAATGAAAGGAAAACATTTTTTTTAACGAAAAACAAAACCAACTTATAATATCTCGCCCTGTATGTTATAAAATACAATTGATTTTCAGGAGTACCTTACGTATCTCCGGAGCCCAATATCCAATACCAATGAAAATAATATGGTACCACATGGGAAGCACCTGCTTTCAAATAAACAAAGAATCGACGACCCAAATGGCGTAGTTGGTAGTGTACCTGCCTCCGGCGCCAGAGGGTGTGGGTTCGATCCCCACTACTGGAAAAATATTGTGTGATGAACATGGTGTTTTTCTAGTGTCTGGGTGCTTCTATATGTATAATATGTATTTATTTACAAAAGAAAAGTATGTTTAAGTATGTTTATCAGTTTTCTAGTACCCATAGTACAAGCTTAGCTTAGTTTCGGACTAGAAAATGTTGTGTACAAATGTGTCCTAAATATTTATATTTATATTTATATTTATATTTATATTTATTTATATTTATATTTATATTTATATTTATATTTATATTTATATTTATATTTATATTTATATTTATATTTATATTTATATTTATATTTATATTTATATTTATATTTATATTTATATTTATATTTATATTTATATTTATATTTATATTTATTTATATTTATTTATATTATTATATATATATTTATATTTCTCTATTTATATTTATATTTATATTTTATTTTCTTTTATATTTATATTTATATATTTATATTTATATTTATATTTATATTTATATTTATATTTATATTTATATTTATATTTAATCATCAAAATCGGTTCATGAAGTCGAAAATTCTGAGGTAACAAACATAAAAAATACAAATACAGGAATTGAGAACCGACTTCAAAAACGAAGCTTGCTAAGGCTACAGTAAAACCGAAATAAGTGTATTTAAAATCGGGCTTACACGTTATCCATAAGCATTTTCTTTTACGGTCTTTGACATTCTACTTTATTTAATTTATTTATTTTAAAAGATTCATTAAATATATACGTTTTCGTATGTACATAATTTTAATACGCTGTAAAAATTGTTAAAATTACAGGGGCATAGCTCTATCTGGTTCTATGCATTTTTCTTCAGTTTCATCACGGAAGAACAAAAATCTACTTTTTCAAGGATGGACAGGCTTATTCTGGGAAGTACGGCCTCACAGAAGACCGCTGTGAATAGGATATATAACCAACTTTACTTTTTAAAGGTTGCATCATCTGCAATCGTTCACGATGTGATAAATTGGCTATAGTAGTTAGGCAGCCTTCTTTCTTGCCTCCTTATCACAAAAAATAAATCTCTAATTGATGATAGGGCTTATAATTATAATTGTGATTTTTCAGGCATCTTATTTCCCTTTCTTAAATTATACGTCACTGATATTTGTCAACAAAATGAGTTTAAGAAAATTTAAGTATTACGACACTAAACCCTTATTAAAACTTTCTTTTTTGTATGTCTAACAAGCGAAGTTCGAACGCGTTGTCCTGAACATACCTCACGTTAAATCCGACAACAACTTATAAAATAAAAATTAAAAAAAAAACATTTTGTAGTGGACTGATTAGTGAATCTAAACCATTCTTGAATCCATACATAAAAAAATAATCATAATCGGTGCAGCCGTTCACGAGGAGTTCAGTGACATATATAAGCTCGGAACAATTTTAATCAAATTTAAAATGTACAAGTGAAAAATAATCAGACGGAGGATGGAGGTACAATCGCAAACTAAAGTGGCCCCCGTTTTATGTTTCATAATACACGACTTTCCTATAACCGAGCGCGGCGCGATTCAAAGAAGTTTTCAATTGCACCACGTGTAGGCAAATGAATCGATATAGACGGTCACACGATGCATTGTCCTAGTTTCCTCGAACGGCGAGACCGTGGTAAGAGTTCGTTTGTAAAGCAGCCGTTATTATATTCATTTCTTCCCTCGGCTCTGTTATTGATCGCATACATCGTTGAATGGGAACAAATTACCTCGTTGTTAAGGGGAATAACTCTCCTCGGTCGGTATACATAGACGTACGGAAGCAGCTATACCCCTTAACATTCTGAATGACCACTCGTAGGTAATAAAAAAAATGCAACACAAAGACGTCTGTTAAAATAAATAGCGCTATTTCTTTCGACCTTCGGACGGGCATCCGTAATCATTTTCAGAGCATTATGCAAACGTAGTTTACGACGTGATGTCATATTTATTTAGTTTAGTCATGCAGTTTTGCGGGCTGCCTTAATTGTGGGCGATTATTCTTTCGTCCTAGCCGACCTTGTCTGCGAGACGGCCGAGTGCGCTGGCAGACTGATGCTGCCGATGTGCCAATTACAAACAACATGTCACCGATCGATTGGTTCCCCTTTATTTATGTGCTCGTTAAATGTTATAAGGTGTTAATAGCTCGTTGCTATCGTTTAAGAAGACGTGGACGGCAGATGTTATGTTAAACAGCGTACTTAGCGTCTTATTCTATATATGAGTGAACAGACAATATATTAACCGAGTGGGAACGATGCACAACGATTCTGCGGCATGAGAAAACAAACATTAAAATGGCCGGCGAACGTATGCGTGTTATTATTTTGTTATTGATTAAATCCAGGAGGAAGACGAGTCATTCATTCGACCTCTGCTAAATTACCTGAATCGCCGAAAAGGTATTAACGAGAGGCGCCGATGTTGTCCTCCAAGGAGTATGAATATATCGATATTTTCGTTTCGACGAAACATACAAGCTTGATTGTAAATTGATTGCGTACCACATAGCAAGCGGGTGACGAGGTGCACGATGAAATTACGCTCTATCTGGCTGGCGGGCGGTTAATAAAAAAACGATTAAAAAGCTATTATCGGTCCACAATCCGCAAATGACTAAAAAATCCCCTGGCAGCGAGCAATACGCGAGTATTCTGCAACATGCCTACGCCTTGATTGCTCACATCCCCGTGCGTTATATCAATTACCGTGTCGGGGAGAGGATATTATCTACATCGAGATAATTATAATTAACCGCGTCTGCTCGCGTCGCATATGGCCAGACGAACTTTCTTTCTTGCGAATGCATACTTTCAATCCAGTCGGCGGGAATTTCCATTTCCCGGCTGCGAATAATTAAATAAAAAGCTCGTGAGGCCTTTTTAGTGACGGCGAGGCGGCGAAATTGAATAGTTGGCAACGTCATTTGAATCCGACCATGCAAATGTTTCGATGTTCGTTGTACATACATCAAGAAGTCACTTGACATAGAAACGATCTCATGATCGTTAAACGCTGATTAGCTTCTCTAAGTGTGACCGTTAGTAATGTTTCAATAGTTTACTAGTTAGTCATTTTAATAATTAGTAGCAATATCAGTTCGTTTTTGAAATTGTTTCGTTAATTTTTGTATTCTGTTTCAATTTAATTACTGTTGTTTTATTTGTTTTTTCTAATTGTTAATGTATTATATTTGTCATTCGTTTAAGAGCCGGGCCACCATAGCCTAGCAGCAGCTCGGAGTACTGCTGCAGTGAACGCGACCAGTTTTTGCGTCGGCCACACATCCACATCCGTGTGCGCGCAGGTTTTTGTCCCGCGTCGTTTTTCACGTCGATCTCCACTCGTGACTCACACAGCTCTTCGAGGGATCCCACATCGCTGTAGAAGAGTCAGTCAGCGGCTTCAGCTATCACACAAAGACGGAAGCTCGTCCGGAAGGGAGGCACAGAAAAAAAGTGGGACCGCTATTTAAAAGTGTTCCGGTCTGCGATCGCTGAACACACTTGCCACATTCACATTTAAAACACCACGCGGACGCTGTTTTGTGTAAAGCGGTCTGTTGCATGTTGGACGGCCGCGCAGTTAATTTGCGTCCGCTAGTAGTAATTGGTGGCTTTGTATAGTACGGGCCAGCAGACGGCCGGCCTCCGGTGTCTAGACGCTAGAGCGGCCGTTGCGATTTGCGCGATCACGTTTCGGCCGGCCGAACATGCTAAGTGCACGTCTGGCCGCATACGTCCGGGTCACGGATCGCGGGAACTAATGCAGGATGTGTCAGTCACAGGCGCACAGTTGCTTTCTTCTTTCGCGCGCTCATCGGGCGGCGGTTTAAGTGCCGATGTACTTACATGCATGTATTCGAGCACTTCACACACGGGCACCTATATTTACTAGTATTGAGCTCTTATGTACGTCTGCGTTGCCACTTGGAAATAAGTTTCTTTTGAAGCGATTTAAACCATCTAATGCAATTAAATATATTATATACTTTAACACGAGCCGAAGTAACGCGATAAAGGTCTAACAAACAGTCATATAAAGTGTCACATTTACTTTTATTTCTTGCGCTAATTGCAAGATTAAGATCACGATATAGACGGGTAAAAACCATGTACGATTCGGACTCGCGCACGAAGGGTTTCGTACCATTTATCTATAAAATCGACAAAAAACATGTCTGTTGTATGGCAGCCCCAATAAAAAAAATATTCTGTTCTTTAATATTTGTTGTTAGGGCGGCAACAGAAATACATTATCTGTGAAAATGTAAACGTAGTGATTACATTCTCTCTGATTTCAACTGTCTAACTATTACGGTTCATAAGATACGACTAGCGACAGACAGACAGACATACAAACAGAACGACAGTAAATAAAAACAGAAAAGTATCAATATTTAATAAATATAACGCAAATAAAACTGATAATTTCTCTAATAAAAATGCAAGTTTTACAATCTTACATTCGTACATCGTAATGTTATTACGACTTTTACACTTATGTTGCCTTAAGTGTAAAAGTCGTAATAACATTAACAAAAGTCTCTTCTTCAAGGTCGGTATATAATTAATGTATTGAGAAGACATGTACATGGAAATTTGGTATAATCTTTAGAATATTATATCGTTACAATTTAAATACCGATAACACTCAGCAATGGAAACCTAATGAATGATTGACTTCGCAAACGAGACGAACGTAAGACGCATGAATGTATGGCATCGTCTGGGCTTATGCAGGCGTTGCGTGTGTCGTCCCATTATCATTTTCTTCGCCGACGTAGAAAGCTACAGCGAGTGCATACATATTTATAGCTTTGGCACGCCTCACTAAATAGAATTTAATTATCCTCGGCGCGGTCCCGGGCTGGGAGCCTCTCGTTACATTGTAACATGGTAAGGGGATACACTATCGCCCGTCCACTGATGTGTTCAGTGCGCAATGTCTCGAATATCCGTTAAGTTTAGTCCCATTGCGAACGGCGGCTTAGGAACATATATATATATATATATATATATATATTTTGACACATTTTTCCTCAACGTTCTCTAGTCCCAAGCTAAGAAACGTTTGTACTATTGTTACTAGATAACTGATGAAAATACTTAAACATACTTTTCTTTTGCAAATAAATACATGTTATACATATATAAACACCCAGACACTAATAAAACACTATGTTCATCACACAATATTTTTCCAGTAGTGGAGATCTAACCCACACCCTTTGAAACAGGAGGCAGGTACACTACCCACTACACCACTCGGGTTAGCTGATACCATAAGATGCTACAATTAATAATTATTTTTTAAAAACTACCCTTTCTGGCATGTACTTTTATAACATCCAACAGCCTAAAGCCTTAAACGGATTGAAAGCATGAAATTTAAAAGTTCCTGAGTTCCTTACGTGACTATTCATACCTCTCGACGTTAAGTGGAAGTGTTACAGTTTTCAATTTCGTCTGTTCAGTGAGGTAGCCGGGATTTAGCACTGGGTATCGCTTAACATCAGGTGAACCACCAGCTCGCTTGCCATCTTCTAGCATAAAAAAACCGGTCAAGTGTGAGTCGAACTCATACTCCGAGGGTTCCGTATTATTCCATTATACCGCCATAATTAAATTGGTAAATAATCACCACCGATTTTCTCAGGAACGGGTGGACCTAGCTGTATAAAAATCATTTTTCGACCCAAAACATATAAGTATGGTAGTTCCCAGTGACCTAAAATCGTGAGAATTGGTAAAAAGATAGGTCTTACAGCACAAATAAGAGAAACATTCCAAAAAATAAAAAAGTTGAAAATTTACGTACTTACAAGGTTTCGCTAAAATCTAAATTTGCGCATGTCTTTTTATCGTACTCATCAAAAAATATATTAAAAGTAAAAATTCAGTACACAAATTAAAGTAACACATCCAGCGTCGAAAGTGTGAATTATTCTGACATCTATAATAAATACAGAATCCCGTATGTCTGCGTACATAGACAGCGTAACACATAGGCCTAGAGCAAATTGTACATAAAGAGGTTTGATTACTCAATGGTCGGATGTCTAGGATAATGATATATACAATGGCGGTGACAAATTACAGCAGTAATTCCATTGAATGGGATACACAAAAAGGAAAATTACAACGCAAATTACTTTCAGGGAAGTCTGTCGCTATACAAACTGTTATTCATCAACATGATTTACAATTCGTTTTATATTTATTATCTAACAAAATTTTATTTAAGAATTTATTTTCGATGTTATATTTCCAGACGTCTGCCAACAATATTCGTGCTTTAAATATGTAATCAAATACATGTCTTTAATATGGATTTAAGAGTGGAGAGATTACAGAGAGGTTGGCCGAGGCAGTAAAAATTATCATTTCCATTTTATAGCAGACTTTTCAGGTAGAAGCCGTCAGACAGAACTTGTATTTCACAACAAACAAGTTCAGTTTTTGTCACGATGATTAGAAAAGGAAATGTTGTATGGTTTCACCTCAATTCCAGTGGTCCATTCCAAGTTCCAATAGGAACATTAAATCGATGGTAACCACCTTTGTCATTTTATAACCCCATCCCACCTTTTTATTTTTATAATGCGTCCTTTATTCACGTGTTTTACCAAATTTTTAATGGGACAACCTATTTAGTCTTTTTATTAAACCTTAGTTTAAATCGTCATTTCAGCCTATTCTATACATTGCTGAACATAGCCCCCCCCCCTCCCCCCGTCGGCTTTGATATAGAGAATTTAATTTTTCAAAGTAGATTTTTAATGGGCATAGAACGTTGAATTCACTTCATAGGATTTTATTTGTAAAATGTTATATTTATAAAGGTTTTGTTAAAGATTTTTCAACCCAAGCTTTAAACTATATAATGCAATAAGCTAAGTAATTAAATTATCACTTATAGGATCATTATTTTCGTACTCTTCGATCTCTACGAGTAGAAGTGAGTTTTACTCGAATTTGCGACATAATAATTGAATGTTATGACGTTATTATTTCATTTAAATCTTATGATTTCATTAATTATAACTAAACATGTCGTCACTATCATGAATGTGAGACAAATTTAAATCTTTTACTTGCCACGTAGAGAAAATAATATCTCTGTTTGGATCGAACATTTGAAGGTATGAGCAAGCCGCGAGGAGTAAACAAAGTCTATAAAAATCGAATATATTAATCTTAAGACATTACTTAACAAAAAACAATATCAGTTCGTTTAGTTGTAGTCATTGCTTACAAATTTGCATGAAAAATATTCAGAACAGCTCAATAGTACCCAGTTGTAATTCATCTGTAAAGGAACAAAAGGTTTTGAGTATAGTTGCGGTGTTGGTCAGAGGAACGAGTAACCAATAGTGCTGCCAGCAAAAACAAAAAGTTTTAAACGTTTAATTACAGTGAGTAAGGCTGAAACAACGAAGTCGCAATGACTGCACCGTTTAAGAAAATCTTGTTTCGGACATTTTTGTCGTCGTACTTATAATTCTTACGTTTATCCAAAAATAAAACGACTTTCATTTTTAGTTCTAACTACTAAAGACGCCCGGAAAAATTAATTAAATGGTAACTAAAAGTTTTATAAAATTAGGCTGTGTACATATAAAGTACTAATTCATTTTCCTTTCGTTATATCTACCATATATGTTTGTAATTACATTTTTTCGAAACTTTCAACTTAAACCAGTGAGACTACTTCTTAAGTAACTAAGGAGCTTTTAACTAAGAAGCCTTGTATTCTTGAATGAAAATTACAATCGCAGAATAGTATGGCACTTATACTGTCATTTATTAATATATGGTATAATATATTAACATAATACCTTCCTTCCAATGTTTACTAAATTGTATTCACGCGGGCCGCGCTTTGGCGGGAGACCGTGTCGCGACGAGACGACACACTGTAGCGCTAGCGGCGGGTGGTGGTGTGCGTGAAAAGTGCAGGGCGTCAAATCGTAAGGTCGGCCGGTCGGCGGGGCCTGCGGGGCTCGTTACGCCGTCTGCACCGCGCGCGACCTTGACACGCACCTGTTGTTGCCAGCCCGTCGCGACTGTACCAATTCTGCGTAATGCACGGGCCCCGGGCGTCTGGCGCGATGGCGGCGTTTCTTTCGCGTGCCGCACTCGGCGCGAGCGATGCGATTGTGAACGCGCGACGTGTCTAAACTATTCCAACTTCCAAGCCCTATTTGTACAGGTTGGGTCGACAGTTGAAGTGAAAGAGTAAACTAGCAGCCTGTATATGAAGCTGCTGGGCAAATCAAGCATTCTCCTCTGTATAGTGACATAGTCCGCAAACCGCTTCGCGTATCGGCAGACTTTTCATCATCGCGATGTTTTTTTTTCTATTTATTTTTGAGACCGAAACATTTCCTCGCGATGCTTATTTTCATCGCCGAACGATGCGAGTAAAAAATGTAGTTTACAATTTCATTTATACCAGCACCAGTTGCCCGAATCGATTAAAAGTAAGCGTAACTGTTGCAGACATTTAGAACATCGTATATGAATAGATAAAAAACACGTTAAAATATTACCCACGCGGAAAATGCCAATATAGCGTCGCATTCACTTTAACATTTACACCTTCAATAACTGGTCGTAAGTTCGGCGCGTCGACGTTGCGAATAAAAAAAGACCACAGTCAGTCTGGGAGTTATAAAATTCGACTTTATAAATAAAAGTAAAAATTCAGTCTCGCCCGGCGAGGTTTGAGTGCGTGCGTTGCAACTGTAATAATTGATAAGGTAACAAATCCGAAGGTCGGGCGGCAGACGCTCTCCCGAGGGATGCGCTGCGGCGCGTCCTTCAATAGCACCTGTTGCGGACACGCGTCATAGAGCAGACGCGGGTAGACGTGGACAACAAATACAGAAATTCTCGTACACAAAATGTGGTTTGATTATAAGGCTAAAATCGATAAAAGAGCCGCCCTGCTCCGGTATCGCAACAGTCATATATCTATATTCCAATTTAACAACATTATGCACATACATAAATTATAACGAACATTTGTGGTGGAAACATTTGTGGCATTTTTTAGCTTTTACTTTTTATTGATTTTTTTTAATGTGAGAAGTTGCCAAGCGAGCAGACGGTTCACCTGATGTTAAACGAAGACCGCCGCTCATGGACATCTGCTACAGCCGAGGATTACAGATGCGTTGACAACCTTTTGAAAATTAGGCTCCGGCCACGTCACTCACTAGACGAAACGCGAAAGTATTATACTTCAACTTTACGCCGGTCTTCTGTGAGGTCGTGGTACTTACCCGAACGAGCCTGCCCATTTGTGCAACAGCCGAGGCTGCTGCGTGACCCTACCACCGTGATATACATTTAATAATTATTTGTGGATTATTTTTCGTTACTGACGCTAGATTATTAATCTTCATATACCTGATGTATAAATATGGTAATTAAAATAAGAATCTATTACGTAAGTTACTGTAATAGAATCTATCCAATGTAATTTATCAGAAAAATGAGAAATAACTTGAACAACATTATCTAAAATGTGCCTACGGCATCTTGTTACGTGCTTTTGTTATTCTAGACATTCCTGGAAGTCTGTCTATCGACGGGTAAGACATAATATGTAACAACGAGATATTCTAAGAAACCATGTATAAAAAGTAAACAAAAACAATTGTGACATTAAGAGAAGACGATCGTTTTCAGAAATGAGTTTACAAAAAATCGTTTAAAATGTTTTCACAAAATTCGCAATAAGAAAACGACAGTAACACGCAGTTCACAATACGAAAAAGTTGACAATTTAAAATATTGTGAATACCTAAATAAGGTTGTAAAAATAAATGTAAGTTATGTAATGCAGAATAATAAAGGTAAATGGCACAGCTCAGAAAAATAGCAAGCTGAAGTGATGATGGGCCGGCCATATAACTTGTAGAACCCATAACCAAGAAAGTTTCTTGAGAGGCAGCTTGATACTGGCCATCGCAGTGTAGGACGACCCTCCAATAGATGGAGTGACGGCCTGTGCAAAAGTTTGGGAAGTCGATGGATACAGGTGACTCAAGATCGTGCTTCGTGGCAGTCAGTGGGGGAGGCCTATGTCCAGCATTGGACGAAATAATGATGGCGATGATGAAGTTAATACGTGAAAGTTCAGCCAGTTAATTAATATAAAACTTGCTAATTGAAAGGCACGAACATTTATTTTTTTGCTTTATTAGCGATTCAAAAAATAAATATTGTTAATTGTAATTCATATTTCCCAAAACGCCTCACGTTTTTTCTACTTTCAACTCTATCTATTTATTAATAATTAATTAAAATATTAATATCTTGCTGGTGAGATTAGTTTTAGGCTATTTTTTCTTATCATAGCATTCTTGTCTAAATTACCGCAAGGTCACCTCTTCAGCGCTCGGATTCCATTCTGGGTTTTTTATCTGCCATATAACAAATTAACGCGCTGAGCTGTTTTTAAAGGTTTGCCTTTGACGAATCGAAGAGATACTTCGATTCGGTACGGGCATTCTAACACGTTAGGCGTGCCGGATCGCCGGATACCAAAATCCACTAATTGAACACACAACTCGGCATCCCCGAGGTAAAAAACAAGCTAATTACGCTATTTACGTTGTTCAGTTATAGAATAACCATAAATAAGAGTTATGTTCTTGCTAATTGTGAAATATTGCCTACACGGTTTAATGGATCTCGACATTCCTCCGTGTCGGTGCGTGGCAATATCGCCAGTGACCTCTCTGATTCTGGGCCACGATTCATTGCCACCGAACAATTCAAAGAGTTTTGTTTACTTGTCTGTCGAAGAGAGAAACATATTCAAGACGAAAGTAAAACAAGACGGAGGTCACGTCCCAGAACGCTGGTTAGTGTTTTTATTGTCTATAATTAGACAGTGTTTAGTCGGCGATAGTTATTTCAGAGGCAGTAAACTACGTTAACGAAGCGATAAACTACTTAGTAGTGTTATTCGAGAATCGGTGAATGAATGAAACGAGACTGAAATAGGTTATTTTCGCAGCAACGGCTTTGATGATTCGCAACATCGTGATCTGGTTTTAAAGGCGCGTAAGTGCGGAGGAAAATTGTTATGATATGCCTACGCAAATATGTTATTTTGGCACGTCCGTTTCCATCATGCTAACACGATGTTGATTGTCAGTCTATGTATTACTTTATCAAAAGTTGGCAACGGACTATGCAGCGAACCTATGGGTGTAGCCAATGTTCATGGACTGCAGTTATCACTTAACATCAGGTGAACCGCGAGCACGCTTGCCGCCTTCTCACATTAAAAAAAAAACTCATGATGCTTGCTTGCCGTTTTGACATTGATTTGATCATATAAATGAATTTTTATGGTCAATCAAGTAACATAGATGGTTATTTTAAAATCAATCCTATTAAAAATCAAAATCGAATTGCAATCCAATACAAAAGTTGAACATTTCATTGTCCAGTCATCTCCATCCAGTTAGTTTCTTTTAATAATTGTGCCTAAGTTAGGTAAGATTTGCCAAATCGTTCACAATTAGATGAATGTTTTCACGTAAAGATATAAAACACATGATATGCAGTAGATATCAAATAACATCGAAGAGAATGTACAACTATAGAGAATATACTAGATCATAAATTTGCCATTTTTTGCCATGTCAACACATAAATGCATGCACATGTTTTTATGGAATAAATTCCTAAATAGTTCTGTAAGCCGGCCACGAACGTTAAATGCTTTGCACTCCAGTGGATTTTTTATCCATACTGCTGATGCCGTAATGAGACAGTCGCGAGCAGAAATGAGAAAGCTATCCCGGGCGAGCGAACATCACTTTTGTGGACATGGTACGTTAAATGTTAGCGGTGGGACGTTAGTTTTTGCGTTCGTTAATTATAAGTGCGAGCGAAGGGTGGTTTGGGGGCGGGCCGGAGTGGGGAGAGCACAGGAAGCGGCGTAGACGGCGCACCCGCCGACGCATATGTAATGCGCGAATCAGGCGCCACCTGCCCCACGTCCGAGGTCACCCTGACCTTTTACTCGAGCCCTGGAACAGTCACCTGTGATCTACGCTTGAGCGTCCCTGCTCGTCCGGGCTGACTGACGCTGATGCCCACCGAATCACGTGCGAAAACGGAATTATTTCTTAACACAAAGGCTGTTCGAAATTAATCGTTGCAGGAAAAAAACGCAGATAATAAACATTGTTTTTTTGGGTATTAAAAATTTAAGTAAAAACCTCTCGGCAGCAATGCACGCTTTGGTAAAACTTTACGGAATTTGGTAAAACGTCCAGCAACAACTCTACTAGGTCTTTACGTCTCAAAAGTGACGACCATAAATGAGATCGACTTATACACTCGACGCGTCTCTGATGATTGTCATTATTGACAGCGTTTCTAGAAATTCGCAGGCAGTAACGCTGACTAAATGTTCCACGAAGTCGTTGACGTTTGCTCACGCATCGAATGCACCGTTTAAGCTAAACGGCGGACAATTAAACGTCTCCGACGTTCCGTGCACCAGATATAAAGCCGCTTGTTTACGACCGCGACTAAGTGTTGGTGACATCTAGATGTATCAGAGACATTGGTCTTGATCGACACTAACTCTTTCTTGGTGAGCTGAGTTAATTGTAACAGCGGCTTCATTTAGCGCACTCCACGCAGTGGCGGCTTGATAAAAACTTTAGCCAACATAAATTATTTTGTTGAATTATAATTCTCGGTTAGGAATTCATCAAATGCTGCGGAAACGTTGTACACCAGCTACGTTGTTCTCCCGATTTCTCTTCCACATCACAAAAAAGCCCATTTATCACAAATCACGGTTGTATTTTTCTCAAGACTGATGTTTACAAAATTTTGAACGGATCATCGCTTCCTTTTCATATTTTTTACCCGTGTGTCAGTTTTCTTGACCGCAGACTTTGTTTCGATTGATGAATTAATTATTACAATTTGTAAACTGCACAATAAAATTAAAACTGGAGGGGTATTTGGCAGCTATATCATCTGTCACGTTCGCTTATGTATTTCACACAATGTAAAGCGGAACAATTTTCAACGCCGCACAGTATGGACTTGCGCCGTCTTTATAATAAAACATCATTGTTGTAGTATTTATAATTTACGATATATTTTAAAGTTACACAACAATAGTGAATGTACTGATGAACGAATATTCACGTTGGTTGGGTAAAGTTAAAACCATCCAGGGTTCTTGGTACGTATCAAAAAGGGAAAACACTGACTTCCTGATACTATTAAAAATTATTTCCATAGTAAATGAGGTATGTAGCGCCTGAGTAATGGCCCTTATTTAAACAATTATCAAGTGCCCTTTAAGTTGTGATACGTGAACGTTTACAAATTTCTTAAAATACTGTTCATTTGCTATTCATTTTTTACATGTGAAAAGTTGTGAAAAAAGCAGGCGACACGTCATGTTTGTTGTCACCTTATGTTTGGTGATTACCACCGTCCATGGACATATACAGCACTTGAGGGTTTGCAGATGCGTACACAACCTTTAAAACAAGGGACCTTATAAATATTTTTAGATATACATTCGACGCGCCCGTTGCGAATTTAGTGACATTACAACACATCCAAGGTGCGTTAGTTTTTATATAATACAAGAGAAAGATATGTTATAATTACTCCTGATAGTACTCCAGATAAAATGTATTAAGAATGCTTCGTTTGTAATATGGATACTCATGTAATTTTAATCAATTACTAACCTGTTCTGGTCACGTGGATTTCGTGATTGGCCAGTGTAAATAGTTACCCTTGGCTATTATATCCAGGGTAATTTGAATATAAACGTAACTATGAAATAAATGTTTACTACAACTACGTTAATATGGCGTTTGTATTCTATTAAAATCTCAAGTAGTAAACCTTACTTATCAATTCTATGCTGGGCTATTTCGCTAAAAATCAATCAGTGACGATGATAACATGACGATGCTCCCGATGGCTGGGATTATCTTGGTACGGAATTCAATGACTTTCCTGTTTGTGCGTTACTAACGAAGCCGTAATTATTTTCGGAACGCATACGATGCAAAACATCTGCTCGAAAATATCAAAAAGGAATTTCTGCACAAATTTTGCAGATGTAAGGCGTTGTTATTTGTTCTAGAAAAGTCTAGGATTCTTGTGGATGCATTATTGTTCTAAAAAAGTATGGATCACTTAACGTTGAATTGGCATGTATTTTTTTACAACAAATAAAAAGAATGCAATACCGTGAGCGCAATGTAGAAGAATTTGCATTTTCCTACCACCA